GAAATATTGTAAAAAAATTTATGGCTTATTCTGGGATTAATAATAATATTTCACTTTTGGAACTTTAAAAATTAAGGTGGCATCGTGTAAAGTATTTATGTGTCTTACCAGCTTTTAAACCCCACTTAGGGAAATTGAGTCTATTTTGAAAGAGACAAAGGTCGGCCCATAGAAAGCTTACTAAAAATGATTTCAATTACCCCACAACAGAGGCAGCCATCACTTGAACCATCCAGGGTGTTTACTAGCCACGGCCCAGTAGGGAGAATGGAGGCTTCTCATTTATCAGTTGGGAGTAAGATGATGCTGTTATCTGGTTTCACACTCTCTATTTACCTGTTTAGTATTCTCTTTTTGGGCCTGATTTTGTTTTGCAAAATGCAGTCTTAGAGGCCCCAGGGCAGAAACTACAACCTAAACCAAGGACTAGAATGAATCCCCATTTGCTATTTCCTGAAAGACCAGAATATTAATTTTGTTTATTCAAATATAAGCTAGTACTTGTGATTGTTCTTCCATCCTAATATAGTGATTTACAGTCTCCAAAATAGATCAAAAATAAAGAAAAATCAAAGCAGTCTATTTTATTTAAAAACACCTGGAATATCACTTACATTTTAATACATATATATATATTTCATTTTAATCAACAGTACTTTTTTTGATAAAGATATGAATGCAAAATACGGGCTAATAAGAGAATATCAACAACAAACAAGAGGGGTTATGCATGTCAGTTGGGTATTTATTTTTTTCTAATTAATATTCAATAAGGCGCCATTCAAGGAACACTGTTTTGGTCGGATCCTTTGCAACTGACACTGGAGAGTTGGGTGGGGCGAGAGTCCAAAGAGGGACCCGACCCGGAGCTCTGGTGACCGGGTTCTTGTCCTATCCCTTGTCGAGAAAGAATTCAAGGACACGACAAATGGAAAGCAGGAAAGCAAATTTTATTAAAGCAAAAGTACACACTTAAGAAAAAGTGCGGGCGGGCAAATTTGGAGAGCAAGTCCGGCTGAGCTGTCTGTATGATGGCTGGGCTTTTGTTTCTCTTGGGAGACAGGGTATTTGCCATGCAGGTGGTATTACAATATTATGATTAGCCAAAGCTGAAAAAAGGACAAGAGAAAGACTCCAGAGCCTTATCCTGGGTGTGGGGGTGATCTCCTAAGGCTATCCTTCCTGTCTTCCAGCCTTGGCTTGTTTCTTAGGCTTGGCGTCAAAACAGGGAGAGGGCAGAGTAAAGGACTAAGGAAACATTCCAGAGCCATATCCTGGAGGAGAGGAGGACTGTCCCTAAGCTGACTATCCTGCTTCACAACTACTTCTAAGGTGTGATTTAAAGTAAAATATCCTTTGTACCTTTGTGAGATAAATGTATCTACATTCACAATCTGCGTTTAGAAAGAACAGGTCCTACTTCGCTACTAAACGGAGTAGAGATCCTGCTATCCCTCTGTCAACTCTGCAATTCAATTGTACAGACCTGATGGACACCATCTGAGACCAAGCTGCAGGCAGGATCCTGGCTCGTTTTCTGTGTTGGGGGGAGGAGGGGCGGGGCAGGGGAGCCTTGTGGAAACTCGTGTGTGTTGCAGTAAATCTGGATAATTCCTTTAAGCATCCCTCACCCCATATAACCTGTTCCTGATCTTAACATCGATTTTCAGTCTTTTCTATGATTAGTGTCCTCCTCCTTCCAAATTTGCATTCACTCTCTCTCACAAAACACATTATTTGCAGAGTCCAGATGGATTAGGAAAACCACTCACACAAACTCCGTGGTGACAGTTAAGTTCTAAGCAACAGCAGGCTTTTTGACCAGATGCTGACCATTGCACGTGCTTTGATTTCTCAAGTCAGAGTTCATTCCATAGCTTGTCTTAGTTGTAAAATTATAAGAGGGTGCCTGGATTCATAAAATGTCTTTCTTAATAGATCTAAACATTAATAAATGTTACCCATTACTTACGTCCTCACTTTACAGGTAGATAAATGGACACAAAGGCAAAGAGAACTGATTTACCCATGTTCAGTCAGGAGTGAAATCTAAATTTCTGAGTTCCTAATTTAGTGGTTTACATACTAAATTACACTGCCCCTTCAGCCCGCTGGGAACATAATCCTGGGACCTTGTATAAACAAAATGGACCCCAAATTACGTTCTGATTAGTGAAATTAATTGAAGTTTATCAAGTGTGAAAACAACATTAGAATATTTAGCACAATTGATTCCGGACTTTCAGATAAATCCATTATAAAAAACATCCCTTCAGGCAAGATAAAATTAAGATTCGACAGAACAGTTTTGTAACTGTTGACAAGTTTAAAACTAGCTTAAAGTGAGCACTACAATTCCAGCTGCAACACATAGTTTCCCCAAAGGGTTTAAGACAACTTCATTAAAACTGCTCAATTACCTTAGCCCTGAGAATTTAAAAGATGAACCAAGCTTGAAGAAGTCATATTAAAAGTAACATCTATTAAGTGACAAGGCAAATGTAACAAAATGTTATTTGTAGATTCTAGGTGGTAGACGTTCACTGAACAATTCTTTCAACATTTCTGCACGTTAGAAAAATTTCAAAATAAAGTGCTGGGGTAAAAAAAAGCAAAAAAAAAAAAAAAAAAGTAACATCTATGCCTTACCACCTAAAACGTAACTTGCTTGACAAATGAACTACCAGAAACTGGTCAGCTTATCAACCAGTATTTTCACTAGAGGTTCATTAAGTAGCTGAGTGTGTACTATGTGCCAGGCACTGTGCTAAGTATAGCGTTTCAGAAGTGAAGTGTCCCTGTCGCTCACAGTTTACATTCTCTCGAGGACTACAGTAGAAGAGAGCTGTTATTTTGAGCTTCTAGGACCACTAAACAGCATTTCCTTCTTCGAATACAAGAAACTACATGCCCTTCTTTCCACTGGCACTTGTTTTACCCCAAAATCTACCTGGGAGAATGTTGGGATAAATACAGTCAGCCAGCAGAGGCCAGGAAGCTCTAATGAGGGGAGGATTTTCAGAGAAAACGGCTCGGAAGCAGCATCACATCTGCAGGTTGGTGCCTTTCTGGGAGCCAAACTGCACCTACAGTATTCAGAGCCTCAAGCTTTGAGAAAGAAGAGAACGTCCCCCTTCTCTCTTGTCCTGAAGGCTGGGCTAGTTACCTGCTGAGAAGGCACTCTGAGAGAGGAAAAGCACCTTATCTCCTCATTCCATAAAATGTTTTCCCTATCTGGAATTATTTTTCACTATTTTATAACCTTATAACAACCCAAATTTTCAGGGAGGAAAAAGCTTTAGCACATTAAAGGCTTCAGTGACATTTAGCCAAACTAGGCATCTCCTTGCAAGTGTTCGTCTTTGACTAAAAGTGAAGGCTGTAATCGAATGTTACAAGCAGCGGAGCCACATCTGATTTGATCAGATCGTCTTTCTGGATACTGGGAATTTGGAAGTGCCAACTGCATTCCATAGACACGACAGCAACTGTGAAACTAACTACGGCTTACCATGGGAAACTGGAAGTTAAAAAAATGAATTTTGAAAGAAAAATACAAAGAACTATTTATTGTCACTTTTTCATCTCTTTAAGGTATTGCGCATCACAAAAACACTTACTGGTATTTTACATAAAACAATGAGTAGAATTTAATTGAGGCAAGCCAAGAAAGAGTAGCAGTAACTGAATAAAGGAGAAGTACTTCAAAGTCTCAAGTTAGAAAAACTCTCCAATAATTAAAAATGTTTTCCAGTCACCCAAGACCGAAGGATTCCCCCGATAAAGATATGACAAGCAATGGCGCCTCTTTAAGGAGAATATATCCTAACTGCATGCATAATTCATAAACATGCTATTTTTGGAAGACTTACTGGCATAAAACAGTAATGGAGAACCATTTCATAATTTTATACCTGCCAGAACTAATTGCTAGAGATCAACCAAGATCTCTATTCCATCATTAGGGAAGACACTCATCTCATTCTATTTCACCTTTTTCTCTTGTATTTGTTTTTATTCCTTAAAAGTTGACTCATATTGTAGTACAGCCAGAAACTGTCATTGCTGCCAACAGCCAAATGGTAGTGAAAAGCTACCAAACTACAAACCAACATCCTGACGTGTTTTGCAATAGCAAAATGCATGACTTGAAGCAAGTTTCACTCAACTCTGGGTTGGCCGTGTCTGGGAAAAGAGGAAACTATTTCTAATTTAGCAATGTCAAAGAATGATGTCAAACAATAAATATGTTAAAATGTTGACATAATATCAAAACATGGCCCAAATTATTTGTAGGCCAACTGGATGAAACTAGCTTGTTTCACAGAGTGGGGCGGATTTGGAAAAATAGGAGAGACTAGTTTTCCGGAAAGGCTTGATTCTGAATTGAAGTCTTAACAAAAGTTTCTTTTTGGAATGACAGTTTGACCATTGTATTCCCTAGTCACAATGAATGACCAGTATAAAATAAATGGCTGGTTTATTATACAATGCTGACTGTTGAGTGTTAAAAAAATTGCTTATTAAAATTCAGATGAGACCCAGCTGATGGACACTAAATTCAAGTATTATGTCAGCAAAAAATGAAGCAATTTTCTACTGGCAAAATCCTTTTTTAAGTATTGTTGACATGCTGCTGATAAAAATTTCTTACAACAAAATTTTATGGTTGGCATAAATCTTAGAAATATCTAATACAATTCCTTATTTTACAGATGGGAAACCTGAAGCTAGGAGAAGTTGAAGTTAGACAAAAACAAAAAAAAAACTGTTATTGTTTGGATTAAGATTCCTGAGTAGAACAAAATAACCAAAGCAGGAAATGACTCCTCAGTACCTAATGCACAGCCATGCTTTTAATAGAAATTTGACCGGACCAGGAAGCTTTTAAATATCATTTCCTTTTTTGGTGAGGTTGAATGTTTTACGGCATTTAATTTTTTTCCGAAAAAAGTACATTTATTGTAGAAAATGTAAAACATACAAGAGCACAAAGAAAATGAGTCATCAAAAATAGTATATTTCCTTCAGGCTTTTCCTACACAACAAAAATAACTACCATTTACTTTTTAAATGGAACTCGACCATCATGTATTCATTGAAAAACAACCAAAGGAAAAGCAGTGGTGCAGGTGTCCCTACCTAGAACGTGGTGCTCCGATGATTCTCAGAGGTTCGTTGGGAAGCATTACAGCTGAGACACAAGCTCCTAGGAAGCAAACTGCCAACTAGCTGACGATCAGGTGATATCAACAGTGGCACTGGGGAAGAGGATCTCTGCATGACCTTTACTTTCACTTTATAACCTAAACCCAGCAGAGCAGGTGCCTAAACACGGGGTGGGGAGGGAAGGTAGAGAGAAAAGGAAAGGGAAAGGTCAAAGTGACCTTTCCAGGCTGCCTCTGCCTGGAACTGAAACCATTCTTCTCCACAGTTTCTTGGCCTCCTCTTGAAATTAAGGATGATCTTTCACACTGGGCAGCGGGCTTTGATTTGGCTTTTCTGGAGATACTCTACGATCCCTCGTGACCAGACAGCTCTAAACAATCTCGTGTAAACAGGATAGTGTATGGGCCCTCTTAGATTCTTTATTAATAGCCATACAAGTTGGGGAACATCCTTAGATTTCACCATAAAATTTAATATCTATAGACCTTTGGCATAACAACCATCTCTACCTGTTAGGAACATTCGGCCACTTCAATACATTCCACATGACCCTCGTCAGGTATGAATTACTGGACTAAAGCAACCTACTCAAGTTCTGATGAATTCCAACGTCAGTTTGGTGACTTCTCATCACTAATGATCTCCCAAGTATTAAGAGGAAATCAATTTTGTTCCACTTAACTGACATAAACCAGAGGGTATTCAAAAGAGCTTAACATTTCTGACAAATAGCTTTTGCCACCACCAATGAAGATGCCATATTAGCTGACTAGGTGAGTCATTTTACATTTTTATGTTGGTTAATTCATGGGTGCATTTCCTTGTCCTACAAGCATGAAGCATCAGAGAACATAAGCAGGGCTGTGGAATTCACTCTGCATTGAACAGACAAAAAGGGAATTATGACATAACACTGAGCACCTGGTATCCACATGGTTCTCAGCATTCTACATTCTGGAGATGCTACTTTGTAGGCAAAGATATATGTAAGCAAGGTAGAATGAAACACTTAAACAAGAATTATTCAAGAGACAAGTTCACAAGGTTATGTATTCGGTTATATTTGTTTAACTAGTCCCTGAATAGCCTTAGTCCCAGGCCTGGGGTGGGGTGGGGATAGGCGGAGACATGGTGGGGTCAATGAGAACTTTAAGTTTTCCAAAGATTAAGGGTCAGATCCTCTGAAATCTATCAGAGGTCAAATAAAATGAGAACTCAACTCTAAAGTAGTACCTCTTCTTGGTGGCACCAACACAAGGCAGTAGTGATTCTCAAGTTTAATATATTACATACAATACTATAAAAATAAGCTGACGTTTTTAAGGAATGTCCATTATTATTAAAAGGGTTGAGCTTTACTACTCTAACCCAGGGCTTTTGACAACAGAACACTCTGGAGCAAAAGCCCATGAAAGTACAACAAAGAGGTATACTGTGACAAAGAGCTGCTGCAATATGCCACCAACACTTTGATTGTAACAATTTTTGAAAAAGCGTAGGATGTGTAGATTCCCAAAGAAAAACTGCTTCAGGCAGATATTTGTAAAAGAAAAAAGTGGCAAGTAGCCTCTCTTCACTGGTGGTTACCTCTCTCCCATTGCCTTTTTTTGTTTGCATGTGATTACTGACAATAGGGCAAGGATAGGCAGTTTTTTCCATTTCCGGGTGGGGTTTTTTTTTTTTTTCCCCCTTAAAACAAATGAGGCGATGCTATACCCCTGCATCAGTACTCCGTGGCTGAAAACCTTCCCTTCGAAGACTACCCATGTCGAAGCGGGTAGAGACTTCACAGCGTACTAATAAGGTATCATCCTTAATGAAGGTTCTTTGTCTTAGAGCTTCCAAATGCATAAAAGTCACGTAGCCAAAACCTTTTGGGTTCCGTGGGATTGTGGGTCTCTGGAAGGCCAGCAACTCTGGTTTTGCATCCATTATCTCTTCATGGTTTTGCCTTATAGGTGCTTCAGACTGATCAAGAATTGTAAGGCGTATTGTGCCCTGGAAAGGCCAAGGGAGATGGCTGTCATACTCTCCTTGCATTGTGTGGACAAAGAGGGATATATAGTTGGCACAGCGCTGAGCAGTTGGTAACTGAAGGTGCAGCCGCATGCACAGTTTGTATCCAGGTTTGCCTGTGTAGAATCCAGGACTATGAATGACAACAGGTTTTTCCTCTTCTTGAGATTTCAAGTGCATACCAAAGTTACCAATCTTCCAGATGTAAATCCCATTGCACTGCTGTGCTTCTATTTCAGCAACTTTGTCCTCAAGGGTTCGAATAGTTCGTTTGAGCTCACTTACATACATGCTCTGAGTTTCCATTTTCGCAGTCAGCTCCCGGATTTGATGGTCTTGTATTACAAGGCGACCTTCTAATTGTTGGATGGTTTCTTGGAAATTCGGGACCTCTGGGTGACACCCAGAGACCCGGGGCAGAGAGGCAGAATCATATGGCAGCATATCACGTTGAGGCACAGGAGCTAAAGCAAGGTTTAAACTCTGAACAGCCTGGGCCAACATTCTCATGTGTGACTGGGTATTCTCTTGCAGGTGGCGTGCCAAGTGAATCCTCTGCATCTAAAAAATCAAGCACAAGCCTTCGGTTGGGCACAGATACTGTTAAGAACTAGGAAAGGGACCTAGTGAAGCCAAATAAAAGGTTTTTAAGTAACGTCATTACTACCTTCAATCTCCTATAACCTTGTCTCCATCAGATTCTTGATCCAATGAGACGATCTTGCCTCTTAATCCACTGAAAAAATGAGGCTACATGCCCATCTTTCAGATAAACGTTCCTCCCAGCCATAAAAGTATTAGGTACTTTTCTTCTGACGCAGAGATCCCTTGTCCAAGATTACTGCTTCATCTGGGGTCTAAATGACACCTGTCCCTTTTCAACACCTCAGAGGTCCTGCTCAGTTACTCCCCTTCTTCTTTGTGTTCAAACATTCTCTCCCCCTAACCCTTCCCCTCAGAACACAATTAGTAAAGTCTTTCCCATTTAAAAAAAAGGCAAACCTCTCCACTGATCTTGAGTCTCCCTCTAGCTAATACTGTTTTATCCCTCCTCCTTTTATCAAGAGTAGTCTACCACCTGCCCTGGCTCTGATACCTCATTCATTATATAAATCTATTGCAAATTAGACTCTTTCCTATCTTCATACTCAGATCATCAAGAACATCCTGTTACATAAAAAATATATTCCTGATATAACATTTTTATTATATGAGCAATTTGTGTATATTACAGAAAAATAGAAAATATAAATGATCAAAAAGAAGTTACCTATTATCTCACCTATCATTAACATTTTGATACCTTTCTTTCAAGTATTTTTCTCTCTGCACATAATACAAAATTTTCCCACAAGATGTAATCATACTATATATTATTTGCTCATTTTATTTTTTAAATTGTTAAATGCATGCTTACTGTAAAAAAAGTCAGATAAAAAAGCCTAATGGAAAAGCAAGAGTGTAACTGCATTCTTCAGAAAGAACTTATCATAAATAATAATGTCTCAGACACCTGACAGAATTGATCACTAATCTTAAAATTAATTCTGAAGACTATAACAGTACGTTCTCCGTGTCTGGTTCATCAAGTTCTAAGACTATTTGCCATACACGCTCACTCTATACGATCTCAATCATACACTTTCCATTAACATCACTGACTACTTCCCCAAATCAATATTCTGAGCTCTGATTTCTCTTTGGAGCTTAAGACTATATACACAATGCATGTCAGCCACCACCATTCCCACTGGTATTCTACACTGCATGATATAACTGAATTTTCTTGATCTATATTCAACGTTTAAAAGGAAAAAAAAAACCACCTTACCTTTTCATGGCAACCAAAAGTACTGAATGTGCATGGAATTGGGGCTGTAGGACAGTCTAGATCATAATGATTAGGCATCTGAAAACAAAAATAAAGGCTGAAAAATGTTTTTCCCTGCATATCACGTTCTAGTTTGATGAGATCACACTTGAAATAAAAATTTACATTTCATCTAAACAAAATCTTTATGTATTGTTTATGACAGCTTTTGCATCACAATGGCAAAGTTGAACAGATGCAACAGAAACTGTGTAGCCCACAAAGATAAAATAATATTTACTTCCAAAAGTCAAAAAGAAATATCAATATCTCATACCATCCCTCAAATCACTCAAAATTCATCTCAAGAAAATGAATTTATTCCTATTGCTGGAAACTGGAACCCTCTAGTGGCATTTTAAAGAAAAAGCACCTTCTGATGTCAACCACGACTGTAAACTTATCCAAGACTCTTCACTGTGATCCAGGCCGTTTAATAGGGGCCAGTCAACTGTATACACTAAAGCCACAGACTGTACCCAATACTTCCCTTAGGACTGCTTTTTATAAATCTTACTTTTTGTTAAACTGGGCATGTTTTGGCTGCAATGGGGAGACTCAGATGTTAGAAGGTACATTACGCACATTAATAAAAGTTTTAAAGAATATCTCAAGTTTTGATCTGGAAACTCAAACACATTCTTTAAGGTAAGATCCATTATGCAGAACCATATTCTTTGAAAATGGTACCAAATTCCCTTTAGGAATTTAGTTTGGCTCTAGTCATAGATATTTCAAGCAGAAACGACATTAGAGACTATTTAACCCAATCCTTCATTTTACATAATCCAGAATAAGTCAGCAACATTTTTTGTAAAGGGTCAGATAGCAAATATTTTCAGCTTTGTAGACAGTACTTTGTCCCAAGTACTCAACTCTACCATTGTGGTGGAAAAGCAGCCATATATATATGACATACAGACACATAGGCATGGCTATGCTCCAATAAAACTTATTTATAAAAACCAGCAGTGGGCCAGTGTGGCTGGTAGGCTGGTTTGCTGACCATCAACTTTCTTGCCAGAAATCAGTGGACAAGTCAGTAGCACGACCTGGATCAAAACCTAGATTATTCTACTCTTAACCTAGGATTCTTTTCCTACATTGTTTTATTTATTTATTTTTGTTTTTAGGTATGCTGCATGGTTTCCTTTAAATAGTAAAACAAAGTAAAGAGAAAAACAAAGTGACACTTCATAAGCAAAAAGAAGTTTAACACATTTAAATTAAGGTTATGTTGGAAAAAAACTTATAGGACTCTGTTAACAGACAAATGGAAAAGTTTAGTCGAATGACAGGTTTCACTTGCTTCTACTTAGTAAGGTAATCGATTATGATCTCTGGGTTAGCAGATTTCATGGGTGTTATAAATAGTGACTAATATTCAAATTTTGTGCGTAAACTCCCCAAATGTCAGAAGACAGCAATCGGATGGAATTTTCCTTTTTCTATTAATAATAAAAATGTATAATTTTCTCTCGTACCTACTTCTGATGATACCCCATCAGTGGTCTACAAGACAAATGACCAGTGGGGCTACAGATCCTGGAAAATCTCAAAATCTCTTCAATGTGTCTCAGTAGCTATAGAGACAAATCATGCTATGGAGACAAAACAGACCTGTTTTCTTCTATTTCATAGTTCTTTCAGCTGGTCTCTGGATACCTAAGACTCTTATTTCACAGTGTATACATAGGTATTTAAGGTTTTTTTTTTCAAATGAGGATTTTTGATTATTTGTATCTTAAAATTACCTGGTTTTGTCTGGAACGTTTATGAATATATATAAACAAATACTATATTAATGACTTAGAAATTTTAAGTAGAGAGGGGTATTTTATTTCTGAAGGTATTAATTTATATAAAAAATTTTCACAGAGTTCCAACACTTCTTCAACCTATATTCATTTTGCCTTACTAATTTAAATTTTCAATTAAAAACCTCACTTATTTATGGAAATATTAATTTATAAAAGGGAATTATACCTGTTCTCTGATGAGCATAGTATTGCAGTATTCACAGATGACATTTGCCAAAGGACAGTTCTGGTCATGGATCTAAATTTTATTAGAGAAATATAAGAATCGCATGAGAAAATCTGAAAAAGTAAAAACAACCTATTTTTATAAAAAAAAGTAATTTTTTCACTGTGAACAAATTAAGGATTTATCAATGTATGCAAAAAAAGGTAAGAATATATAAGTTATTTTCTCTCCCTTTGCCAGTGTAGTAATGAGATTCATTTCCCATTCTAGCTTTTTAAAAGAATATGAATATTACACAAAAGAGAATCTTTTAAATCACTTCTTTTAACCTGAGGCAGAACACTTATGACTTGTTTAGACATTATTTACCAATACCATATTCTCCACAGGCATTGTTCTAAAAATTTCCAGCAGCAGTATGATTTAATTAAAACTCTTATCAGGAGGGTTAAAGAACAGAAGCCTTAATAGGGCAGGAGGCATTGGTGCTCAGATTCTCACAGGCCCTGGAAGGGTGAGCCTTGTTTTCTAGAATACAGTGAATTTAAGAAATAATTAACCTACCAGGTTAAGTCCATTTAATTTACTGAAGTTTGGGAACATATCAATTTGTTCTAATTATGCCTCAATCTTCTCCCCATTTTTAACAAATTAGCTGACTTTTTCTGAATATTTCATCAACTTAATGAATATGCTTGATCTCATAAAAAAAGTAGGGAAAATTACAAAGATATACTTATAACAAATAAAGTTTAAGAAAGTATCTTAATAGCTAGAAAATAAGATAAAGTATGTTATTTATGTAGGTTATTTTAGTAAAGAAGACATAGGATGGAGATCCAGGACTAGGATCTCAGTCTAGCTCTGCTCTTACAATATTAAAATAAAATTACTTAAGCTCTCTATATCTCGGTTTCTGAATGGAAAAACTGTTCTATCATCATGATACTGTCAGGTGCCATACGTTTCTTTTTAAAGATGAACATTTTAGTGGTAGTGTAACATATGTACAGAAAAGTGAATTCCTTATATGTGTGAAGTCATAAAAGAGAATTCATCATATATAGCTTGATGAATTATCACCAAAGAAATACACTATGTGGGATTTGATTCATTCTCCATAAAAGTTTTAACAGCCCATTTTCTTTTTCAAAGAGTAAAGTATAAGTCTTAAGTTATCATTCTACTTGTTTGTCTCTAATCCAAGACTGGTCATTAAAATATCACACAGAAAAGTAGATTGGGATATATCTTTCCTAGGTTTTGTTACGTGCAGTGCAGATCTACTTACACTGGTAAGTAGTATAAACATGTTTTCTAAGAAAGATATGCAAATATAAACCAGTTGTGGGTTTACTAAAATGGTTTACTGAACTTACTTTCTTAAAAATCACTCTTCCCACAACCGATAATATAGACTCAGAACTGGAGTAATATCTTTATCTACTGCTAACACTCTCAAATGTACATTAAAAAATTTAAGAAGTAGTAGAATTAACAAATCCAAGTTAGTACATGCCTCTTTATCTTCAAATGCCATTGATACAGCACAGTTTAGACAAGAAACCTGTCTCCTTGGACACTCCTTGAGAATGTGAATATTAAGATGGCATTTTTGGTAGGGACGTTGGCATTGGGGACAATTCGTAAGAGCAAACTCACAATGTGCTTGATGATCCTATAATAAGAAAAAATAATCTATTAGTATTTGCCGATCCTTAAAAAATCGAAATATAATCTCTTCTAAGAATATACTGTCAAAAGAGCCACCCCTTCAAAAGGAGCAAAATAAAGGGGACAAGTTGCAAATATGTTTTAAATAGTTAATTTTTAATAGAACATAAACAATATTTAATTTCCCATAAAACCACCAAACTAAGAATTTATTTAATTTTAAAGCAAATTCTTTCATCTGATTGCTTCAGTTAACCTCAAGCTATAGAAGGACTCTATTTAGTTAATAATAAAATGCACAATTTAGAAAATCAGAGAAAAAAGTATGATCAGGGAACTAATATGATATGAGACATTGCTTATTTCAAAATGAGAGAAATGAAGCTATGGGATTAAAATATGACACCTGTATTTAAAATACTCTTAAGTTTTACTGCAGATAATGTTCACCCCAAAAACTTGGGAAGAATGCTGATTTCTTTTTTATTATCATTAGGCAAAGGCAGAGTGGATGAAATAAAAAATTTCTAGTTTCTATTTCTATTCAATGAAAAGGCTGGTATTTTGTTAACCAGTTATTATATGCTAGGCACTGGCAATACACAGATGAACACAAAAAAGTCTCCAACCTCTAAGAACTGTTTGCATATATGCTAATGGCTAAAAAATAACCTTAATACCTCAAGATGCCTCAGTTCCATCTTGTGCAAACAACCTTTATTTGGACACTTCACTGTCAGAGAAAGAATCTCTCGTTTTGCAAAATTGTCAGGAAACAGTTGCGTTTCCAGCAGTATTTCATTGTCAACTGGACATTTGTGACCTGCATCCCTGAAAAAAGATACATATATTTAGATGTAAACATTCACATTAAAAAATACAACTTTAATTCTCCACATATAAATTCTCCATGTATTACTTCCAATGAAAAATAATTTAACACATTATATTGCATTAACAGCACCAAAACAAACAAACAAACAAATAAATAAAACAAACCTGTCCTTTTTGGACAGTTTATAAATTGTTCTTTTATGGTATGAATACAACTAGCACCATATCAGCTAATTATCAAAAACTATGGGATTTTATATTATAGGATAGATTCCAAGCAAAAAATGAGAAAAATTAACTGAACAGTCATATTTTGATTGGCATATGATGACGAAAAACTAAGGAAGGGAATTTTGCAGTCTAGCAGGCCTCTGTTCTGTCAGCAGCTATACAACATACTAGTGAGATAAATTAAATATGCTCATAATACCAATATGTCTACAGTGTAAATAAAAATTAAACCAATTAGTAGTACCCCTACAATGCCACATTTTAAGGTTTACTCTGAACAGTCATTATAACACTCTGGCTCATGCAACAAAAGTTTTCCTTTATATTTATATCCAGGGTACAATGTAGTAGGGCGTTAAAGGACCTCTATGTTCTGTTTCTCAGTGGTTTCTCAGTGGTTGATTTCATCTTATGATGGAAAAAAACCATCCTCAGTAAGCGTGGGTGTCTGTCACTCCCCTTTAACTTTTTGGGATGTCAAAATCTTCACTCACAAAATGTGGCAGGTCAGGTAGGCTACAGGAACATCAATCAATCTCTTAAACATTTATTGGGCACTTCCTGTGTGTAAGCCAACAGTGGCAGCTATGGGGGTAGGTAAAAAGGTGCTGAAAAATGGAGTCTGCCATCAAACATCTTAGAACTAATAAAGGTGAGACGCAGTAAATCTTTAATGAGGCGCCTCTCACACTAATATTATTACACTGTCAAGTATTTTATGAGAAACACAGAAAGCTATAAACAAATTTATTGAAATATATACCCCAAACCTAAGTGATGAATGTCTAAGAGAAAATAAGAAGACCCTTACAAAATAAACTTGAAACCATTACGCACAGAAATGGAACTAGATTAAGAGGCATTTAGAGTCCCTGAATATAATGGATGAGACATTTCAGAGTCGTTCCTTTAAGAACATTAGAGTCAAAGTAAGTGGTCGTTTCTAGCTGAGAGGGAGATAGAAACAAAAAGCCTCAGACTTCCTTTTGTGGGTTTTACTTCCTTTTCAGACCGCTGTCCCACTACTTTCATGAATATCTTGTTATTAAAAAAACCTTCCTGGGCAAGGGTGACAATTGGTAAAATACTGTATATCTCTACCTACCTACAAAAAAAATCAACAATCTGTAATGTGGTACATATGACCTATCAAGACTGAATCATGAAGAAACAAAATCTGAACAGACTAATAGTGAGGAGAGTGAATCTGACTGAAAACCTCCCAAAAAACAAAAGTCCAGGAGCAGAAGGCTTCACTGCTGAATTCTACCAAACATTTAAAGAATTAATATCAATCCTTCTCAAACTCTTCCAAAAACTGGAAGAGGAAAGAATACTTCCAAACTACCCTGATACTAAAACCAGATTAGGACACCACAAGAAAAAAGAGAAAAAAGTTAATTTAAAAGGGGACAAGAAAAAACAAAAAACGAAGAGACAAGAAAAACAAGACAGTGAGTAGCCAGCCTAACCTAACTACAAATGTTTTCACCAATATAACTAGATGCCCATTTATTACAGAACATAAAATCCCACACTTTTTTTTTTTGTTCTGTACAGAACTTTTTAGTCACTTAAAAATATTCTCACCTACTTCTGAATTATAGTAAAATATATTTATTTCTTGGAAGATGAATTTGAATCATTCGTGGAAGTCCCACATAGCTTCATTCAGTTAACGCAACCATGTTTTACTGAGCACCAATTGTGTGTCAGGTACTTACTATTCCTGGCACTTGGGAAAATATCAAGAAATAAAAAATCTCAACCCCTGCTCATAAGGAGCTTTTCTTCCGACTGAGTGAAGGAGACTGGGAGTGTAGCGGGAGACAGGAGGCATGCTGTGGTATAAACAGTGTAGCCAGGGTACCTATGAGAAGGTGAGATGTGGGCCACGAGGGAAGGAGCAAAAGGCATGAGCTAGGCAGTTAACTGAAGTATGAGTGTTCCAAATAGAACAGGTAGAGCCAACTCCTCAAGGCAGGGGCATGCTCGACATGTTGAAGGAACAGCAACGAGTGAACTGGCAGAAGGAAGGAAACATAGCAGAGAGGAGGTCAGAAAATAGATTATGGAACTACCATATAGCGCCTTGCAAGGACTTCAGCTTTTACTTCCAGATGAAATGCTGCCATGTTCTGAGCAGAGATGACATCATCTTACTTATTTTATCAGGTTCATTCTGGCTACTACATTGAGAACATTCTAGAAGAAGGCAAGGGTAGAAGCAGGGAGGTCTGTGAGAGAGCCAACAGTAATTTAGAACAGGGTGGTAACAGTGGAGGCAGTGAGAAAGGGTTGAATTTCATTAAAAGTACTGGTTACTTTACAGTTATCCATAGATATCAGGTAACAGAAGAATTTAACATGGCTAAAATCGTAATAACTGATCACTTATAGAGTCAGCATTCTTTGTATGGTTGAGATTATCACATTCTGATATCATCATTTAAGGTACATTTATGTTATCTTCTTAAGAGACACACCCTTGTCTGCAGCAGAATTGCTTTAAGTAGAAGTAGCTACTTATTTATCTGAGGGTCTGAGGAGGGTAGGAGATAAAAATTACCTTTCATACCACAGTATTAGGATAAGAATATAAATTTCTCAATTTTCTGTCCAGTGTTCTTTTTCCCCCAAGTAGTTTATGTATAAGACTACTCTTAGGATGTTCCACGTTCTGTGTAATACTGTTCTCTGTATTTGGTTCTGTTACAGGACACGGTTCTTTCTTATGCTCACATACCTGATTGATTTGATGATGCAGGCTTTGCAGAACCTGTGGCCGCAAGGTGTTTGCACTGCTTCTCGTAGTGCCATCAAGCAGATGGGGCATTCATACTTGCTTTCCAGGGGTGGGTCAAATTCCACATCATATCCCTGGATCTCTTCCATTAAAGAGCTAGAGAGATTCCCTGTGCTGGCAGTTCCACTCACACTGTCATCTTTTGTTGCAGCACTGCAGGAGCTGGCCATGGCAGCGCAGCAGTCACTTTCAGACTGGCTGGATGCACAGCTGTTTTCACAGTTTAGCAGACTCATAGTAACGAGATTATCAATTGCTCTGCAGAAATAGCAAGAAAAAAAAAAAATCTTAACATACATACACACACACACACACATCAAAGCTTACCTGTGCAGGTCACCTTTTAGTTGATATATATAAGCTGCATTACTATTATTTACAGAAAATTTTCAAAGTTTTCTGAGTTTTGCTTCATGACTACTGTTGTATAAATTAAGGAGTTCATGATCTAGTAGACAGAATATAAGGTTAGAAAAGTACTTCAACTGTAATAATTAGCTATACTCTATCTGTTTAAATGTCTGTTTCCTGTGACTGAAGAATTTAATTTTCATATCCTCAGTACTCAGCACAAGATTTTTTGTGCATCTGCTGAAGAACTTAATTATGCAGCTAAAGTTCCTTCAAGTATCCTGAGCTAAAGAGAATAGCAGGCAGCGCAAGGAAGAGCAAAACACAAGGGATTAGATAACCAGGTGCAACCATAAGGTGTGTCATTTTGGGCAACTTCACCATTTCGATTTTGGTTTCTTCTTCCAGATTTAAAATCCTATGAGTACTTCCGAATGTTCAGTGTGGGGATTTCTATTATGTAGAAAAAATGGAATTGAAAAATATTATTTATTTGTATGTCCTTCTGCCTTCAGTCAAGTCAAGTGACTATGTTTCATTATTTGATTGGAAAAACAAGTGAGGTTTTGTTTGCCTGTGGAAAATTGCTTTCATGGGTAAGTGGGACGCCTGCAAATTCTAAACCATTACGGTATTTATGAGTGAGAAGCCAACGTCTAAAAGCAATTCATAGCCTATGTAAGAGGTCTCTGCTGCAGGTAATTACACCTAAGGAAAATTCCTAACATGTGCCAGATATAGTTCTAGAAACAGAATGTAAGCCTTCAGTCAATATGGTAGGTAATTATTCCCCTGTCTCATTTTTATATAAAAATCTTGGCTGCCACCATGCCAAATAGTGGGTTTAAAAAAGTAATCCTCTAGCTTTTTACCACAACAGATATCTTTTATTTCTCAAAAAGATTTTGAATACCATTTGATGAGTACCTACAAAGGATGAGGCACTGTTCTGGCTGCAGAAGCGGTACTGGGAAGGGTAAAGAGCTTACGTGCTGGAATCAATCTGGATTTAACTATTTTCTCCAACACTTAGTGTATGACCTGGGCATATATGTGCTACATTTTCCTCGTCTGTATATGGGGATAATAAGAGAATCCATCTCAGAATTACTGAGTTAAATATTTAATATGTGCAAAGCACTTAGAACTGTGCCTGGAATTAAGAACGAGTTATTGTCTACGGCCACGCTACCCTGAACAAGCCTGATCTCGTCTGATCTCGGAAGCTAAGCAGGGTCGGGCCTGGTTAGTACTTGGGTGGGAGACCACCTAGGAAGACCAGGTGCTGTAGGCATAAAAAAAGAAAAAAAAAAGAAAAAATTAATAATTTAATCCCCCACCCCCCAAAGTGGGAACTACAGTGCTTAAAACCTTGCCGAGGACCATTCAACTAATAAGTAGACTTCAGCTTTTACTTCCAGATGAAATGCTGCCATGTTCTGAGCAGAGATGACATCATCTTACTTATTTTATCAGGTTCATTCTGGCTACTACATTGAGAACATTCTAGAAGAAGGCAAGGGTAGAAGCAGGGAGGTCTGTGAGAGAGCCAACAGTAATTTAGAACAGGGTGGTAACAGTGGAGGCAGTGAGAAAGGGTTGAATTTCATTAAAAGTACTGGTTACTTTACAGTTATCCATAGATATCAGGTAACAGAAGAATTTAACATGGCTAAAATCGTAATAACTGATCACTTATAGAGTCAGCATTCTTTGTATGGTTGAGATTATCACATTCTGATATCATCATTTAAGGTACATTTATGTTATTTTCTTAAGAGACACACCCTTGTCTGCAGCAGAATTGCTTTAAGTAGAAGTAGCTACTTATTTATCTGAGGGTCTGAGGAGGGTAGGAGATAAAAATTACCTTTCATACCACAGTATTAGGATAAGAATATAAATTTCTCAATTTTCTGTCCAGTGTTCTTTTTCCCCCAAGTAGTTTATGTATAAGACTACTCTTAGGATGTTCCACGTTCTGTGTAATACTGTTCTCTGTATTTGGTTCTGTTACAGGACACGGTTCTTTCTTATGCTCACATACCTGATTGATTTGATGATGCAGGCTTTGCAGAACCTGTGGCCGCAAGGTGTTTGCACTGCTTCTCGTAGTGCCATCAAGCAGATGGGGCATTCATACTTGCTTTCCAGGGGTGGGTCAAATTCCACATCATATCCCTGGATCTCTTCCATTAAAGAGCTAGAGAGATTCCCTGTGCTGGCAGTTCCACTCACACTGTCATCTTTTGTTGCAGCACTGCAGGAGCTGGCCATGGCAGCGCAGCAGTCACTTTCAGACTGGCTGGATGCACAGCTGTTTTCACAGTTTAGCAGACTCATAGTAACGAGATTATCAATTGCTCTGCAGAAATAGCAAGAAAAAAAAAAATCTTAACATACATACACACACACACACACATCAAAGCTTACCTGTGCAGGTCACCTTTTAGTTGATATATATAAGCTGCATTACTATTATTTACAGAAAATTTTCAAAGTTTTCTGAGTTTTGCTTCATGACTACTGTTGTATAAATTAAGGAGTTCATGATCTAGTAGACAGAATATAAGGTTAGAAAAGTACTTCAACTGTAATAATTAGCTATACTCTATCTGTTTAAATGTCTGTTTCCTGTGACTGAAGAATTTAATTTTCATATCCTCAGTACTCAGCACAAGATTTTTTGTGCATCTGCTGAAGAACTTAATTATGCAGCTAAAGTTCCTTCAAGTATCCTGAGCTAAAGAGAATAGCAGGCAGTGCAAGGAAGAGCAAAACACAAGGGATTAGATAACCAGGTGCAACCATAAGGTGTGTCATTTTGGGCAACTTCACCATTTCGATTTTGGTTTCTTCTTCCAGATTTAAAATCCTATGAGTACTTCCGAATGTTCAGTGTGGGGATTTCTATTATGTAGAAAAAATGGAATTGAAAAATATTATTTATTTGTATGTCCTTCTGCCTTCAGTCAAGTCAAGTGACTATGTTTCATTATTTGATTGGAAAAACAAGTGAGGTTTTGTTTGCCTGTGGAAAATTGCTTTCATGGGTAAGTGGGACGCCTGCAAATTCTAAACCATTACGGTATTTATGAGTGAGAAGCCAACGTCTAAAAGCAATTCATAGCCTATGTAAGAGGTCTCTGCTGCAGGTAATTACACCTGAGGAAAATTCCTAACATGTGCCAGATATAGTTCTAGAAACAGAATGTAAGCCTTCAGTCAATATGGTAGGTAATTATTCCCCTGTCTCATTTTTATATAAAAATCTTGGCTGCCACCATGCCAAATAGTGGGTTTAAAAAAGTAATCCTCTAGCTTTTTACCACAACAGATATCTTTTATTTCTCAAAAAGATTTTGAATACCATTTGATGAGTACCTACAAAGGATGAGGCACTGTTCTGGCTGCAGAAGCGGTACTGGGAAGGGTAAAGAGCTTACGTGCTGGAATCAATCTGGATTTAACTATTTTCTCCAACACTTAGTGTATGACCTGGGCATATATGTGCTACATTTTCCTCGTCTGTATATGGGGATAATAAGAGAATCCATCTCAGAATTACTGAGTTAAATATTTAATATGTGCAAAGCACTTAGAACTGTGCCTGGAATTAAGAACGAGTTATTGTCTACGGCCATGCTACCCTGAACAAGCCTGATCTCGTCTGATCTCGGAAGCTAAGCAGGGTCGGGCCTGGTTAGTACTTGGGTGGGAGACCACCTAGGAAGACCAGGTGCTGTAGGCATAAAAAAAGAAAAAAAAAAGAAAAAATTAATAATTTAATCCCCCACCCCCCAAAGTGGGAACTACAGTGCTTAAAACCTTGCCGAGGACCATTCAACTAATAAGTAACAGAGTTGGGATCAGAACCCAAGTCTACCTGACTCCAGAGCCTGTGCACTTCTTACTATACTATGTTTGTCTATTTCTACTTTGACACATTTGTCTATAAAGCTGCATTTAACAGTTCTCTCCCTTTATTTTTATTTCACTACACTAAGGTGCTGCACACAGCTTCCCCTAAACATGAGCTGTCCAGCATTGTTTTGCAGGGTTGATAGAATTTCAATGAATCAGTAAAGATAAAGTTGGCATTTTGTTTTCCTTTTAATATTTTTGAAAAGTTAAAGATAGCTCCCAAAGCCTTGTTATCATTAATGTAGATTCCTAGGGATGACTCAGTGTAGGATGAGAGGAAGGAAGGAACAGCGAGATAGTGGCAAATGAATAGTCATATCTGTGCTCCAGGATGGGGTATAAGGCCCCCACTACACCTTCCAAATCTCGGGATATATGACATTGTTATGCTACACTATTATATTCTTTATTTTTCTTCCCATACACATTTTTGTGTCCAATTTCTTCCTTAGGTAAGTTTCTTGGAAGTAGAATTATTAGGTTAAAGGGTATGTAACTTTCTGAGGTTTCTGACAGATAATGCTGGCATCAAAGGCTTTTTAATTCCCCCTCCCCAAAGCAGAGTAAGTTCAAGGGAACTCATTTTATATACCCTTGACAATTCAAGGTATGGTTATCTTTTGAATCTTTAACCATTTTATTTTTTAAAGTAAAACTACTTTGAGAAATTAATATTTGCTGTATAGTATATATCAACGTGCCAGGCAGAAGACAAAGGCAAAAGTTACTGAACTAAGCCTACTTTTACTATCCAAATGTCCAGTTAAAATTCAGTTTATTGGATAGTCTATACACTGCCCTCTGGCAGTCCAGTTTCAAAGACTTGAAAGTTTGTTTTTTGGTTTTTTTTGGCAGGGCAACCGTTGGTTAACCTCACAGATTGCAAGGACCTTGTCAGCTTACAATTCCTTACTTTTTATTTTTTTACACCTATAGCGCACCTGGTCTTCCTAGGTGGTTTCTCATCCAAGTACTAACTAAGCAAGCCCAATCCTGCTTAGCTTCCACGATCAGACAAGATCCAGCATGTTCAGAGTGGCATGGCCATAGACCTTGAAAATCTTTAAAGAGACATTTTATAGCAAATTAAGAAAACCTGTGTAATCAATAACAATTCCTCAAAAGGAATTCCACTGTAGGAAGGCAATGTTAAGACATGAAAGTGAGTGCTCTTAAAAATCTAGATGTTTTCAATTTTCACATTACTTTTCATGCTTTAAGAATACAGAAGCTTTACATCCTTCAAATAAACTTTTTCAGATAGTGACTCTCTATGTCTACAGTATATATAGTCCCATGTAACTACACTACAAAGGGAAAATTAAGCTAAAACAGTATTTTGAGTTCCATTTGGTATTTTTATTTTTACTCTTTCTCTGTAGAAAGTTAAAACATTTTCCCCCTTTACCTTTAGGGACTGTGATGACTTGACGACTTAAGTGAAAATCACTTTCATAACTACAATGAATACTTATTTTAATTAACAGAGAACAAACAGTGCTTTGCGTCAGCTATAGAAGGAAAATGACGATGATCTAGCACCATGGAGAAAATATTATGCTCTATTAGAATTATTTTTAACCTCATAGGTATCCACAGGTATCCATTTCATGAGATGCTACAAAAGCAGGCTTTGGCTTTACATAAACTGTGAAAGATGATATGAGTGGGGCCATATTAAAAAAAAGAGCCAGAGTGACCATTTCAGAAGCACTGCTCTGCATGTCTTGTGTTTCTTTATATTCTGAACTGGATCAAACCAACATCTCAAGAAGTCAGTAAGAACAAGAATATCTTCTCTGTAAGAATTGATGGATGAAAACGGACTTTGCCGATGACCGAATCACTATCAATCAATGAAGTACAAAATCTAATTTTACTTTATCTAGCACCAATAAAGTCTTCTTTAATACAACTTACCTCATCTTCTTCCCTTTTTTCCTGTAAAAACCCTGAGCCTCTCTCTTGTAGTGGGGCGGGGGGGGGGGTGGTACACACCATTTGGGCTTCTGCCTGAATCTGTTGTCCTCAAATTGCAATTCTATTGGATCCCAAATAAATGCTTATTGCCTTTCATTTTGGCTTTTTTTTTTTAAGTTAACAAAGCTAAAATAAATAACAGTGACTATATATTCTTACCTATAAGGATTTCTTACAGCCTCTTTTCTACTCTAACATTCAGAATTTATGTGGCTCTCTACAGGAATTAATAGTAAGGGATAGAACAAGTTTAATTTCATGACTGCAATTCTCTTTTTGCAGCTGTGAATCTAGTACAGTAATAAGCACTGCCTTAGTTAAAAATTCTGGGATGTAACTAATTTGACTGCAAAAGGAATGAACAGTGAAAACAGCCTTGTCTAAATCATGGCTTAAATTCACTTTTTAGTACCTGGAAATATATTACAGTTCAAAAAAATACCATTAACTTTCTTGGGGCAGCAGGGGAGATGAGGAGTAGGGTAATGCACAAAAATCTGTTTCCCTAAGATCAAGAGATGCTAATGAGAGAAAAGGTCCAAGCTAAAGAAATCAACAAGTCATATCCTGAACTGGTCAATTTTAAGTTAATGAAAAATCATTTGTGGCTAAACATATAACTTATATAAAAGTAAAACCCTGTAAAACAAAGTACTGAGAAATTACCTGTAATTTGCTGCTAGCTCTAGAAGTGTACTATTTACCAACTCCTTAAAATTTATTCTTAAAATACAAAGATCTGCAAATGTACTTCAAGGCCCAAGAAGTGCTGCGAAATAATCAATTGTTCTGTCTTAATTTTAAATACAGCTATAAATATAGGATCGGTCACCTTTCTAGGCACTACTTGCTCTCCAGGTGGCAAAGATACGAACAACGTCTTTCAAAATCCAAGTGGCCAAAAATTTATCCGCAGGAAAGGCCTCACGTTACAGTTCTGAAATACTCTAATGTACTCAGTGTATGCAGGTTGAAACTCTGATCATCGCATGGGTAACAAGTGCCTGAAACACATTTCTTTCCTTGAGTTACGGAAGAGGCCTCGCTGTCCTTACTCCGCCTCCAATACTTCAAAATCAGAAAAGCCCCTTTTACCTTCCCTAGTCATCTCAGGGGAATGGATAAAATGCCAGTGGCCAGATTCACAGGGCAACACTTAGAATTTCTTTACAAGTTTGTCTCTCGTTTCTATGGCTGTGTAGCAAGACATTTAGTAATTTGCTTTCCCGAGAAACAAAAGAAACACGCAAATGCTGTATATTCAAGCTGCTAACACTTTAGGTGCTTTCTGTTCACATTCATGGCAGCCCTACCTCTCAGCTGGAGTTCCCCTAAAGCCAAATACTAGGAACAGCTTTATCAACCCGGCGTCTGGAACAATCGCTGGAACTACCGAGTGCAGGGGCGGGGAGGAAACATTCGTGTCATCTGAACTTTAAAAAAAAAAAAAGAAAAGAAAAAAAAAAACCTTGCTGTCTGGGATCTCTATTGAGTTCAACAGGGAAACCAAAAATAGCTTTGCCGTGACAGAGGGAGTCGGTGGAAACTTAAAAGAGATTTTTTTAAAAAAGCTGGTAACTTCGAGAGGACGGGAAAATCCAGGAGGCAATTTCTAGGAAAGGGAATATGCGGGGTGAAGGGAGGTAAGGCTGACGAATTTGGCGCGCGATTCCCGCCAGGGAATGGAGTGGGGAAGGAGGTCCCCGCAGGCCGGGAGAGCAGAGAGGAGGGGAAAGGGGGCGACGTCCCCAGCCTCCAAGACGCGCACGGACTGGGGCGACGTTTCCATTTGTGGGAAACGAGAGGGGGCGGCGTCCGCAACCTGTGGGAAGAGAGGCCGCGGGGCGACATCAGAAGGAGACTCACCGCTCTCGTCTGCTGGGGCGCCGACTCCACCCGGCCGCACGACTCCGCTCAGCCAAGGCACCAGGAAAGGACGGGGACCGCGCTCCGAGCCGAGGCGGCCCGGACGCCAATCTCCCGGCCCGAAGGCCGCTGCTCCCGCGTCTCCGGGCCGCCCGGAGTCCGAACCTCAGTCGCAGACGCCTCTACTTCCGCCTTCTCTGCCCTCCCAGCGGAGCCAGGGGCGGGAGAGGGCGGAGGGAGGCGGAGGGAAGAGACAAAGCGGTCGAACTGGGCCTGCGCGCCCCCTGGTGGCGGTCCTCCAAAGCGCGCGGGCTGTGGCGCAGGCGCATGCGGGCAAGTCTAGCTGTCAATCTAAAGCGCTCCAGCTAGGCTTCTCCAGCTCCAGCTCGGGTGGCTATCCCACTTGGGTATTCGTAAACACCGCAGTCCTGAATTGTGTGTGTGTGTGTGTGTGTGTGTGTGAGTGCAGACAAGTCTAGCTGTCAATCTAGAGCGCTCCGGCTGGGCTTCTCCAGCTCCAGCTCGGGTGGCTATCTCACTTGGGTATTCGTAAACACCGCAGTCCTGAATGTGTGTGTGTGTGTGTGTGTGTGTGTGTGTGTGTGTGTGTGTGTGTGTAGTAAGTTTGGGGAGAGAGAGGACAGATTTCTGCACTGGATAACTATGGCGACAAGAAGAACGAGTTCTTTCCGTAAACACCGCAGTCATGAAGTGTGCCTGTGTGCGTGTGTGTGTGTGTGTGTGTGTGTGTGTGTGTAAATGAAAACTGTGGCGACGAGAAGAACGAGTTCTTTCCAGGAGTAACTGTGAGCGATCTGGTGAGCGACTGCAACAAAAACAGCAATCCAGAAACTGTATTTATAGTTTCCCTTATCCTTCGAGAATTCTTAAATCCTTCCCCAACTCAACTTTTCTTGCCACGGAAGTTTCCATGATAGGTAGAACCCTCTATTACACAAGGTCCTTCCCCTTCAACCAGTCAAGCCATATATTAAACAGTTTTTTGAAACCGCTGCCATCCCCTTTTGGGAGGTCAATGTCATGAGAAAGCTATTTGAATCCCCTGTTTAACTGGATGCAAACCTCTAAGGAATGTAGCAGGCACGTTGCAAGATGTGCAGGAAAGATTTTCACCCACCTCTGCAAATTTGAGTCATCATTCACCTCTTGGGGGTGGTATTACAGGGTGGTGGTTTTTACGTGTATATATCCTGAAACCAGAGTGCTTCATTCAAATCTAGTTTTTTCCCCTTTATAAATTATATGACTTCAGATAATTAATCTGACTTTCTTCAAATTTTTCATCTCACATTAAAATGGGAAGAATAATTGTATAACTTACTTGATAGGGTTGTTGAAAGGCTGAGATTAGTAATGTAAATTATTTAAAATGACCTAGGACACAGTATGTTCTCAATAAATGACAACAATACTGTATTTCCTGCTTTCTGGCTATAGATATTCATAGAAAATTCTTATGTTTTCAAGATAAGGATCTGCCACTGGCCAACTTCATCTGCCCCACCCCTTTTTAAAAATGTATTTTGAAATATGTAAGACATACAGAAAATTATACACACACATCTGTGTGCTCACCACCCAGCTCAAGAAATAAAACATTGCCAGTAGGATTGGTAGCCCCTATGTATCCCTTCGCAGTGGCCTCTCTGGCTTTATAAAAATAAATCATTTATGGGATGACAGATCATTATATGAAAATAAGAGGTGGAAAAAAGGAAGAACAAGGGAGTTAGACCTCCTTCCTCTATTAGTATGAGTTCTGGGGCCAGTGATGGAGCCTCCATGAGGTTCAGTTTCCTAAACCATAAAAACAGGGATAATATTTACGGGGCTAATATTGTCAGGATAAACTCATTAAAACGTATGTAAGAGAATCCAGCACTGGACTTTCAAAAGATTAGGTTTTATGTGTCCTTTACCATTTTCATAAGCAACCTCGAGGGGCCTCTTCTTACTTTCAAATATCCTATTTATTTTTCACTATATTTTATGTGGTGGAGAGTTTAGTGTTCACCCATGGCCTGTACTCACAGGAAACTTACACTTTCCTGTCACCTTGCAATCAAACAGTGTCATATGACTAGTTCTGGCCCAAAGCCTATGAAGAGAAGAGATGCATGTAATTAGAAGGCCAAGGCATTTGATTTTCATGACAACACTCTCTTTGCCATGTGGCAACCGAGGAGATCATAGGGCACGTATAAGAGGGTGGATCACTAAATTGCTCTGTGGAGGGCAGTCACTTTGGAAAGTCAACTCGCAGTGGATTTGCATGAGCAGGAAACAAATTGCTGTTGTTCTAAGTCATCAAGATGTTGGGGTTGTGTTTTCTGCAGTATAACACAGCCTATCCTACACACGGTTCCTCCCTGAAGATTTTTCTAATAGTTTGTATCCCTATTGGACTGGAATCGGAAAAACAAAGTTTTACTCCTGGCTCTGCCTCTTATTAAAATTAGGACCTGATCAGGTGTCTTCATCTATAAAATTGGAATAAAATTTACCCTGTCTTCTTTTCAGAGCTGTTTTGAGTTCAAATGAGATTATATATGTGAAAATGCTTTGCAACCTAGGAAGTACTATATAGATAGGAGCTGAATATTCTGATTAGTAGAGCTGCCTGATATGTATAGCAACCACAATGCCCAGGTTTTCTGAAATGCTGCTAATTTAAAATATTTTGCGCAGTCGTCCTTACATAAGTAAATCAAAGTGTATGAAAATATTGTCACCATAACATTCCTGAATTGCTGTTTTTCACATTCTGTTTGAAAAAAGAAATAGGATATACCTTGTAGGCTATTGCAGGTGGGGGTGGGCGGGTGAGAGATTTTTTTCCCTCAAACATTTAGCAATAAGATTGCTCTCTAAGAGTTAAATTATAAAATTAAGACACAATTCATTAGTTTGAAACATTTATCGGACAGCCAATATGTGCATGTGGCAGTCAGCCTTGAAGATGTGTTTATGTTCTGTATGATCTCCTTCCACAATGAATAGGGTGTAACCAATAGGATGCTGTGAAAATGACAGAATGTGACTTCTTAGGCTAGGTTGTTTCCAGGGTTCCAAAGGAACCAACTCAAGAATTCACAGTTACTAAGATAGAATTTCTTGGAGATCAAGGAGAGATTCACTAAGAAATATTCTAAGTGACTGCATCTCATTTCATTCAGAAAACAAACTCCAGATAAACTACAGTGTTATCATCCTCCCTTCTCCTCTCCTCTCTTTTTCCTTTCTTTCTTTTCTTTCTCTTTCTTTCTTTCTTTCTTTCTTTCTTTCTTTCTTTCTTTCTTTCTTTCTTTCTTTCTTTCTTTCTTTCTTTCTTTTCTTTCTTTCTCTCTCTCTCTTCCTTCTTCCCTTCCTTCCTATCTCAGCTTCCATCCATTTGTCTATGCACCCATCTGTGGTCTTTGCATCTATTTTAGAATTAAAATTCACAAATGAGATGATTTTCATGATTCTGATTGAAAACTGATGGAAAGTGAATCTGATTGGCCGAACTGGTTTGTCAATGAGGACTGGCTTTGTTAGTTAGATTACATAATAGATTTTCCCTATAAATTGAATGAGAATTGAATGAGCTATATGTGCAGTTTTCAAAAAAACACGCAAGGCATGTATAAAATATACAATATGGTAGAATCACATTCTTTGTGATTGTTCGAACTTATTAAAAAATTTTAGATGCCAACCTAAAGTATCATCTTACAAAAGCACCTTAAAGTGAGAATCTTTTTCACAGCAGAAACAGGAAGAGCGAGAAAGTAAATATGTTAACCTTTGAGAAAATTATAGATCAAGAAAGACTGAGTTAATCAGAACAGGAATTAGAGATGATGGTGATGGAGCCCAGAAAAAGGTCAAAGGTATCCAGTGTGGCATTTCCCATGTGCATTCTATTTGGGGGAGGAAGTGCCCTGCATCAAAATCTCCCCTGAGCTGTCCATTTTCAAAGGCAGGAGTTTGAGAAATGACCTGATGTCATTAACCTTTGAGTTGTAAAAGCAATTACCTATTGAATGTTTTCATGATTGCTAACAGTGGCTAAATGAAGCTGAAGGATTCCAACAGAGAGAGCATTCTGGCCTTGGAACAGCCGGCAAGTACAATAAGTTTCAGGGTAGTCGCCACCATTTCTCCCTCCTTCCTCCCATCCCATTCTACCAAAATAAGGGAAAGTTCTCAGAGAGCAGAGGAAGGAGTAGATGAGGAGTGAAGTGGGGGGCGGGGAGAAGAGGGACAGGGGAGTGAGGTGTGTACACATGTGGGTGTGTACTGGAAGGCTCCTGACAGTAACAACAGCAGGCTTTGGCGCTGTTCCCTTGGCCCAGGCCACAGTCCAGACTGAGAGCAGACTGAGCCGCTAGGAGGCAGATGCTTAGTTTTGGAGCCCACCTTGAAATCTATGGGAGTCCCTCATCTTGTCAGTGGCAATGAGTTTTCTTTGGTAAAGCCTGTCCACTACCAAGAATCTAAAATCCTTGCCCTTCCCTCTCCACCTTCTTCCCAAGTCCAAATCAAGAACCTAGACTTTTTGTGGCCACACTCATTTTTCCTGCTTTTGGGGAAAGGAGGGGATATCTTCATTACTTGGAAGAAGGAGGAAGGTAGGCACCTTTTCATGGCATCGGGACCAATTTTTTTCCTAGTTTCACCACTACTCATCAAGCAATGTTGAGATGATAATTTGACTCACTTTATTGCTTTCGTTGAGGGAAAGAATGTGCTATCCATAGGATGTAAGTATCTGATCTAGCTGTGAATTTTATTTTTAATGTAAACAATTACTTTAGTCTGATTTGTATATTTGTTTCCTGTGAGCTGCATTAGTGTACAGGAACACCGGGTGGATAATACCAATTTTTGAACTGATAGAGCTAAAGGTCAGATTAATTCACCAAGGTAAATAATACCTTATGACTTCTCTTGGTACATTCTTTTCTGGACACTTTTAAAACAATTGCTATTAAGAAAAATCATCCAAAACTTGAAATACAGTGAGAAGAAGGTTACATATCCTTTTGGTGTCATTGTTTAACATGTTCACCTAATAATTATTTTATTATCCACGTCTGAGAATTCACCTATATTTGACTTTGCCATTTACTATGTGATTTAAGACCAGACACCGAAGTTACACATTAACTTAGAGATTTCTGTACAATAAGAAATCTAACCCCAGA